AGTCGTCACGCCGCGTCCTGTTCGATATGGGACTCATAGCGACGTATACAACGCGTGTAAAATGCATTGTTTATTTACATGAAATTCGAACACGCGCTGCGCGACGACCACCGCGCTTTAAAATACACATGACTATATATTTAGCTTTAGTAGCCGCATATATTCATCTGACTTGGTAGTAATGAAAGTATAATATTTTCTCAAATCACCATCAAAACTATCGTCAATTGATAATATGTTTATTAATCCCTCATCAGAACGAAACCCGTTACAAAAACTATTAGTCACTGGAGTAGGTATTCTTGTTGGATATTCTTGTAAAACGAAGATGTCGTCTGCTTTAGATGCGTGTGTATACTGCCCTTAGTATCTTAGGCCAGACTTTTATTATCTCTTGTTTCGCGAACCCTCCGAATGAATGCAGCCGAAAATGAAATAAAAATAAAATTTTATTTTAGCGTAATTTCTCGCGCCGGCCGACTTGTGAGCGCAAAAAATTGCTAAAAAAATATTATTTTCATCTTAATTTTTTTTACCGCCCGCGCAGATGAGAAACAAGGTTATACACAGAGTAAAATTGTATTTCATTTCTTCTCTCCGATCAATGATCTCACTTACATTTCCTTGAGAATCACACAAATCTAATGGGAAAAAAGAATTAATTTTATTTTTTTCCGCCCTCCTCAAAACAATTGCCTTATAAAAACTCGCGAAACAGGGAATAAAAAAAAAGTCTGGCCTTACTAGTAAAAAAGGGGGGTACGTAGGGTGTAAAGAAAATATACAAGAACAAGAAGAGGTTCATAGAAAACTACTCATAGTAGCAGAGGACCATTTCCTGGCATTTTAGATCTCTTACAGGGACATTATTTATAAAAGGTCAGCGGGAATAGATACCCGATTTTACATTTTGTACTCGGCAACAGTACGCAAGAAAACACGGCTAAATGCGACTCTCTTGTGAAGCTAGCAGAGAACAATACGCGGCAGGTGCTCGAGCCGTGCACTGTATGCAGAAAGTACTCTAGAAACTTAACTTCTAGGCAGATATACACGATAGGTACCCAAGAAACTTAGATTCTATATAGATATACACAACAGGTACCTAAGAAACTTAGCTTCTATTATAGATATACACAACAGGTACCCAAGAAACTTAGATTCTATATAGATATACGCAACAGGTACTGAAGAAACTTGGCTTCTATATAGATATACGCAACAGGTACCCAAGAAACTTAGCTTCTATATAGATATACACAACTGGTACCCAAGAAACTTAGCTTCTATATAGATGAACGCAACAGGTACCCAAGAAACTTAGCTTCTATATAGATATGCACAACTGGTACCCAAGAAACTTAGCTTCTATATAGATATACACAACTGGTACCCAAGAAACTTAGCTTCTATATAGATATACGCAACAGGTACCCAAAAAACTTGGCTTCTATATAGATATACGCAACAGGTACCCAAAAAACTTAGCTTCTATATAGATATACGCGACAGGTACCCAAAAAACTTGGCTTCTATATAGATATACGCAACAGGTACTGAATAAACTTAGCTTCCATATAGATATACGCAACAGGTACTGAAGAATCTTGGCTTCTATATAGATATACGCAACAGGTACTGAAGAAACTTAGCTTCCATATAGATATACGCAACAGGGTACCCAAGAAACTTCTACAACTTTTATAATAGCTAGTGTCTTGAAGCTAATAAGTGTGCACTTCCTCAACATACAAAGAACATTTAATAATTATCAGTACACATGCCCATAATTTAACTCATTATAAACCACCATAAATGACATAAGCCCAAATTATATTATTTACCATAAAGTTAAAAAAATAGTATGATACAAGTAATTGTTTTTTGAGAACTATTTACATTGTAACTCATGAAAACAAGTGCAAAAAAACCCATTTAAATCAAGTCAAAAAATTTAATTTAAAAAAAATAAGCTATTTTAATTAGATCACTAACAAAGAACACTTATAATAGTATTATGTTTCTGTACTGATAAGAA